CGTGCGTGCACTGGAGCGTGATCGCGCCAGTCTCTGGGTCAACGGTCGTCGGCAGCCGGCGCGAGTACGTTTGGCCCGCCGGCCACACGGTAAAGTCGACGTTCTGCTCCACAATGTCAGTGTACGAGGCCGTCGCGCCGACGATGACGGCAATGTGGCCCGTGCGCTCAAACTTGCCGAGAGGGTTCCAGATCAAGAGCGCGCCTTTCGCCGGCAGCCGCGTCGCTACCCCGTTGGCTTGAGGCACAAGCGGGAAGAGCACATTGTCGGCCACGCGCCGGACGTACTTGAGGCGGAAGATGTCGTACGCCATGGCAATGTTGTCGTACACGACGCCATGGTTGACCAAGAGGTAGCGCCGTCCGAGCTCGACGCACTGCCACTTGTAGCCGGTTGTGATCCCGTCGACGACGTTCTTCAAGTCGTTGCGATCCGCCAGCGCCGACTCGCCGAGCGTCTCGTGATCGTAGCAGTAGACCTCGACGCCACCGTCGGTCGTGCCCAGTACCGTGTCTAAGGGCGCTGACATGGCAAAATGTAAAGTGGGGCAGAAGATCTGCCCCACTTTACCTTTTGCCATGATGCCCCAGACGTCCATCATGGTGTCCGCCAGGAAGTAGCCAATATCTTCTTAGCCAATCCCATGCGAGAACGACCGTGATTGGCCCATTCGTTGTCGCGACATAAGTTCTTTCTGCACGCCACGTAGGATGTCATGTTCGTTGACGTGTTATATGACTCCTGACTACTCCTGACCTGTGGTTTGCAGGACTCTCTCAAGCCTTGGAAGCTCGAGGTCGGATGCCGGTGCAACGCTAGTATCGATGGACCTTCTCATATACCTGCTGTCCTCGGTGAATCGTGGTCCATCACAGGCTCTCTAGCGGACTCCACGAAGCACCATACCAGTGGAGCCTGCGTCGCACTCTGAAACGACCGCATCGACTTTACTTGATGATTCAGACAAACGATATTTAGCATATGTACCTTCTTTTCCCTTTTCGGCTCTTCATAACTTCTACAAGTAAGTCGCTTTGAAGCACATCAGGTCGTCCAGGACAGGAAATACATGTATTCTGGACCAGAATCATCACAGAGTTAACAGTTGCCTTCGAGCCTCCAGAGTCCTCCGCCAATAGTCAGTGACAAGCAAGCACCGAACCGCATCAACAAGGTGAGCTAGCAACCGTAAATTTACACTTCAACCGAAAAAAAATTACCAGCCAAAATTACCAATTCATCCAACCATCGAAAACCTCTACATCCATCGCGTGGGCCACCAACCCGACCAACATCATCCGGTTCGAGTCTTCCAGCACAGTGATGCGTGATTCCTGCTGCGTGGTACCGGTCGCAGCAGGCGAGGATCGAGGTGCCGCCAATCATGTTGCTGGGACTGGACGCGTCTCCATGGTCGGCCGAGCGTACGATGTGCGAGGTGTCGGTGCAGCTACCTTAGAAATAATTCAAGCAGTCGGTGGTGCTCCTTGGACGGAACGCGTTGCCATCGTCTGCCGGACGCAGGTGCACGGGGCCGTCTTACGTGTCAACGTTTGGACTTGGAGACGGCGTTGACGGAGCGATTCCGCCGGGGATTGGTCATCGCTGTCATTGTTGTCGTTCGTGTCTGCGTAATGAAGCGATTTGAACGAAGAGTGGGCGAGATATGCCCCACTCTACTTATCGAGCCGATTTTGTCAGCGTAAACGCACTTTCGTTCAAGTCACGACTACGACCCAGCTCTCGTGACCACGGAGTCCGAGATTGCCGACGACAAGACCCATCAGCCCACGCTTTTGGCGCTGACGACACTTTTGTGTGAGGGCAATGCTATTCCCTATGGGCGTACGACACACTCGACTCCGCACACCGAGGCGTTCGGCCACAACACCACCCAACATTCGTCTAAAGACCCGAGCGCTTTGGGGTACTAGTATTTTCGTACTAGTACAAACGATGAGGCATAGTAGACACATATGATTGATTCACACGCAAGACAGGGCGATGACGGGCTCAGATAGCCAACTCCTCCAGGGTCAGGATAGCGTCCGAGGTGTCGACTGCTGGTGTCGGCGTCTCGGGCGACCTCGTGGCGGTGTGCTTGGTGCGATGCCGCGTCTTTCGCGAGCCGCTGACGTCGAGCCACCATACGTCGGCTGGCGGAGCTAAGCCATGACTGCTCTTGGCCTTGGACACGTGGCGGCTGCGTGTCGATGCGGCAGGGGCTCGGCTGCTGCGTTTCGACGCTCGGTAAGCCGACGCCTCTTTTTCCATAAGGGATGCCATGAGCTTGGCGAGACGTCGCGACTGGCGCTGGCTCGACGATGGCTCGCGGCCTTGCTCGTAGTAGAGCTGCCACGACGCGTACCAGTGCAGCCATATCCAGTACTCGGACGCTTCGGATGTACTTTTGCCCGGTAGCAGCAGCTCGGGCGGCGATGACACGGCGCTCCACGGTGGCATCCCCGGCGGGTACACCGCTTTCTCACGAGGCTTTTCTCGCTGCGCCGCCGTCGCAAGTGGTGGTGCGATGGCAGGTGCTACAGGGGGTGCTATCGGCGGTGTTGCAGGAGTCGTCGCTACCGGAGTAGCTGCAGGAGGTGTTATTGGGGTGGAAAGTGCTCCTGGGGCGGGCGGTGCCACCGGTAAGGGGGCAACCGGAGGAGGCTGGTAGGCACACGCTTGCTGCACTGGTGTCGCCATTGGGTAATACATGCACGGGTACATGATCTGGGCAGGTGGCTGCACGTAGGTGGGCGCCATCGACTGGGTCGAGAGAACGACTGCCGGCTGCAGCATGGGCTGCGGTGATGGCATGACCAGTGTCGCTTGAGGCACGCTGGGTGGACTCGATACCACGGTTTGACACGAGGTACTTGGCGGCGCAGCTGTCGTTGGCAATGGCGCCGCGGCAAGTCGTGGCGCTTCGAGGTCAGCGGCTGGCGTCGTTGGCGGGGCCCTGGACGGAGCTGGCGTTTGCCAGGCGAAGAAGAGCGGCGGTTTCTCGATCGAGTCGTGCCTGCGGCTGCGCCGCAGGCTACTTCGGTGCCCATCCGTGTGCGACGCAACGCCTGCAGGCTCGTTGCGCCGACTGCCCATGGCGACGACTGTTTCAGTTGCGTGGTTGCCGCCGTTCCCCTAGTCCTAACCGTCTTCTGGCCAAGGGTTCGAGACCCGGCAAGGTTCACAACATGATGTAATACCAAGACCAGATATACAATGTGTGCATGAGCCAAAAAAGACCATGTAAATGGAGGCAAACACCATTGTACATGACAGTCCGATACCCGTAGAATCAAAGCATTCAAGTCATTTAGCAGAAAAGCATGCTTGGAAATGCAAGAGTCTTTGTCTACGCCGAGGTGGACGCATCGTCGTCCAGCACGCGCATGGGGTAGATGGGCGACTCGAAGCGGATGATATTGGTCGGATCGGCGCGGACGACTGCGCCACCGTAGACGCCTCCGATGGCCCACGCGCCGAGCTGGACGTACTCGCCGGCGTACTGCGGGAGCAGTGCGATCTCCTGGTACACGGGCGAGTCGTCCGTCCAGCGACCAGATGACTGCGACAAGACCGTGCCGTCGGCGTCGACAACCGAGATGTTGGCACCCGCGCGGCCCGTCACGGGCTTGACAACGTACCCGGACGCATGCAGCTCGGGCGTGAGCGCAAACGACGACGTCAGCAAGAGCGGGTGCTTGGGATACAGCTTGGTGAGCACCGGCAAAATGGCCTTCGAGCTCGGCAAGACGGTCCAAAGCGGCTCGAAAATGCGAATCGCGGGGTGTAAAAGCACATCGACGAGAAGAATGGTCGTCGTGCCAGCCCGCTCGCGGTACTTGGGCGTTGCCAACGCCTTGGGGTCGACCGCGTCGTCTTCAAAGAGGTACTTAGCCCACTCGTCGTCCGAGAGCTCGTTGAGCGCCGTGCGCCACGCCCACGTCTTCCAGACATTGCGAAGGATGTTGCCAGCCGCGTCCAAAATATCGTGGCCGCTGCGCTGCAGGCCGCCTAGACCCACGACCACATGCGTCTCGAGGCCCGCAGCGGTCGCGGCCGCCGCCATGTACTGGGCATGGTAGATCTCTTCGGGCTCGTCGTCGCAGAGCAAGTGCAGCGGACCAATCACGTTGCGGGCGGCCCACGTGTCGACGAGTTTGGCAAAAAGTCCGTTGCTGTTGCTATGGCCGGGCAGCCCCAATACAGACGCGAGCGCGTCCTGCGTGAGGCCGCACTCGAGAAGGCACGACGCCGAGTCGGCGTTGTACTCGTACACTTTGAGGCCATCGTGCGTCAGCGTAAAGTCAAAGCGCCCCGCGACACAGTCGGGCTTGCGCCGGAACCACGACCGACGAATGCGCGGCCAAAGCTTTTGCGGGATGCGGAAATGCGGACCGAGCTCCTTCTCGTGGTGCAAGACGTAGTCGGTCGCGTCGAGAAACATGTGGTGGAGGTGGTCGGTCGCATACTCGAGCGCGGCCTGTCCGTGCGACGTGAGCGTAAAGTACGGCGATTTGCCTTCCGTGAGCACTGCACCCGGCGTCGCAAGGAACGTCTGTACGTACGCAGCAGTCGGGTCG